ATATAGTGTGGATAAATAACACTGACACATTAGACACTAATATAGTGTGTGACACATTAGACACTAACATGGTGTGGATAAATAACAATGACACATTAGACACTAACATGGTGTGGATAAATAACACTGACACATTAGACACTAATATAGTGTGGATAAATAACACTGACACATTAGACACTAATATAGTGTGGATAAATAACACTGACACATTAGACACTAATATATTGTGACACATTAGACACTAATATAGTGTGGATAAATAACATCGACACATTAGACACTAATATAGTGTAGATAAATAAACACTGACACATTAGACACTAATAACACATTAATATAGTGTGGATAAATAACACTGACACATTAGACACTAATATAGTGTGGATAAATAACGCTGACACATTAGACACTAACATAGTGTGGATAAATAACACTGACACATTAGACACTAATATAGTGTGGATAAATAACGCCGAGAGATTAGACACTGATATATTGTGGATAAATAACACTGACACATTAGACACTAATATAGTGTGGATAAATAACACAGACACATTAGACACTACACATAGACACTAATATAGTGGATAAATAACACTGACACATTAGACACTAATATAGTGTGGATAAATAACACTGACACATTAGACACTAATATAGTGTGGATAAATAATGACACATTGACACATTACACTGAGACACTAATATACTGTTGATAAATAACGCTGACATATTAGGCACTAATATAGTGTAGATATATAAACACTGACACATTAGACACTAATAACACTTTAATATAGAATGGATGAATAACGCTGACACATTAAACACTAATATAGTGTGGATAAATTACAATGACACATTCGCCACTAATATAGTGTGGATAAATAACGCTGACACATTAGACACTAATATAGTGTGGATAAATAACACTGACACATTAGACACTAATATAGTGTGGATAAATAATACTGACACATTAGACACTAATATAGTGTGGATAAATAACACTGACACATTAGACACTAATATAGTGTGGATAAATAATACTGACACATTAGACACTAATATAGTGTGGATAAATAGACACATTAGACACTAATATAGTGTGGATAAATAACGCTGACACATTAGACACTAATATAGTGTGGATAAATAATACTGACACATTAGACACTAATATACTGTTGATAAATAACGCTGACATATTAGGCACTAATATAGTGTAGATATATAAACACTGACACATTAGACACTAATATAGTGTGACAATTGAAATCATCAAAATAATCATATTACGACATATAGAAGTTTATATTGCAATGGACAAAAGTTTAAGAGAATATAAACTCGTTATTCTTGCACTAATTAAGGTACTACAGATGTGAAAGTGTTGATTGACACATGTAACACTAATAATGTGAAATGAGAAATGTTTTCAATTAAAGACTGACGTGCAATATCTAATGGAATGGTTACAGTTTTATCACAAAAGGGTAATCTGATAATGGAGTATAGCCCTTCGGAGAATTGTGATATCGACCGTGACAGCTTTGTCTCTGATTGTGATCGTGACAGCTTTGTCTCCGATTGTGACTGTTACAGCGTTGTCTCTGATTGTGACTGTTACAGATTTGTCTCTGATTGTGACTGTTACAGCTTTGTCTCTGATTGTGACTGTTACAGCGTTGTCTCTGATTGTGACTGTTACAGCTTTGTCTCTGATTGTGACTGTTACAGCTTTTTACTCTGATTATGACTGTTACAGCGTTGTCTCTGATTGTGACTGTTACAGCGTTGTCTCTGATTGTGACTGTTACAGCGTTGTCTCTGATTGTGACTGTTACAGCGTTGTCTCTGATTGTGACTGTTACAGCGTTGTCTCTGATTGTGACTGTTACAGCTTTGTCTCTGATTGTGACTGTTACAGATTTGTCTCTGATTGTGACTGTTACAGCTTTGTCTCTGATTGTGACTGTTACAGCTTTGTCTCTGATTGTGACTGTTACAGATTTGTCTCTGATTGTGACTGTTACAGCTTTGTCTCTGATTGTGACTGTTACAGCGTTGTCTCTGATTGTGACTGTTACAGCGTTGTCTCTGATTGTGACTGTTACAGCTTTGTCTCTGATTGTGACTGTTACAGATTTGTCTCTAGCGTTGTCTCTGATTGTGATTCTGATTGTGACTGTTACATTGTGACTGTTGTCTCTGATTGTGACTGTTACAGCTTTGTCTCTGATTGTGACTGTTACAGCGTTGTCTCTGATTGTGACTGTTACAGCTTTGTCTCTGATTGTGACTGTTACAGCGTTGTCTCTGATTGTGACTGTTACAGCTTTTTACTCTGATTATGACTGTTACAGCTTTGTCTCTGATTGTGACTGTTACAGATTTGTCTCTAATTCTGACTGTTACAGCTTTGTCTCTGATTGTGACTGTTACAGCGTTGTCTCTGATTGTGACTGTTACAGCGTTGTCTCTGATTGTGACTGTTACAGCTTTGTCTCTGATTGTGACTGTTACAGCTTTGTCTCTGATTGTGACTGTTACAGCGTTGTCTCTGATTGTGACTGTTACAGCGTTGTCTCTGATTGTGACTGTTACAGCGTTGTCTCTGATTGTGACTGTTACAGCGTTGTCTCTGATTGTGACTGTTACAGCTTTGTCTCTGATTGTGACTGTTACAGCTTTGTCTCTGATTGTGACTGTTACAGCGTTGTCTCTGATTGTGACTGTTACAGCGTTGTCTCTGATTGTGACTGTTACAGCGTTGTCTCTGATTGTGACTGTTACAGCTTTGTCTCTGATTGTGACTGTTACAGATTTGTCTCTGATTGTGACTGTTACAGCTTTGTCTCTGATTGTGACTGTTACAGCGTTGTCTCTGATTGTGACTGTTACAGCTTTGTCTCTGATTGTGACTGTTACAGCTTTGTCTCTGATTGTGACTGTTACAGATTTGTCTCTGATTGTGACTGTTACAGCGTTGTCTCTGATTGTGACTGTTACAGCTTTGTCTCTGATTGTGACTGTTACAGCTTTGTCTCTGATTGTGACTGTTACAGCGTTGTCTCTGATTATGACTGTTACAGCGTTGTCTCTGATTGTGACTGTTACAGCGTTGTCTCTGATTATGACTGTTACAGCGTTGTCTCTGATTGTGACTGTTACAGCTTTGTTTCTGATTGTGACTGTTACAGCTTTGTCTCTGATTGTGACTGTTACAGCTTTGTCTCTGATTGTGACTGTTACAGCTTTGTCTCTGATTTTAATTGTTTCGATACTTTATTGTTGTAGAATTTCTGTAAGTTGTTTGGTGCCCGACTGGTCTCAGTGGAAAGCGAACGTGAGGACAAGATGCTTCGTGCTCACGGCTATACTATACAATGTACGTAGTAGAAATATCACCGTATCATATCATACAGATAATATTCAATACACAATATCATTGATGGTTTTTAAACCATATATGTAAAAAACTGAATCGATCCTTAGAAAGTGTTCAGAAAGTGTTATGGAAAACCATACGAAAATACCAAAATGTTAACATCATTACAAGTCAAACTCAAATTCAATCAAGCTGGAGCAAAATATATACAGCGGAAAGATTTACAAATGACTCATTCAAAAGTACAAGGAGAGTCAGACAACAAGGTAATCAACAAAGGAAGCACCAGGCAAGCTAACGGGTAACACACAATTCCAGCTTCATTTTGCACAAAAAAAATGATATTTCTCAGTAAGGTCACTATGACAGCAGATAATCTTTCCCGTAATTTCATCAGCCTTTATCTTTTGAAATCCTATGAAAATCGTAATAATAAGCCCCTTAAATATCGAATCAACTGCGATAAGTAACCACCATAGGTTGGGGATGCAGGGATGTTGCTATCCAGAAATGGAAAATTTACGAAAGGGAAATTGACATCCTCACGTTTATCAGCTTGGTGGAAACCTGTTCAATGAATTTCTCGTTGATAGCTAGGACGTCATCAATACATCTGAAAATGAAACGATTTTTTTAGACCTTTGTGACCTGTTTAGTTACGGTATTCGATAAACGCATACATTCGTATAAAAACAAAAACAGACAACAGATGGGTACAGTAAGTTTCCATAGGTATACCAAACGTCTGTTCTAACCATCAACTTTAGATTTTCAGATAATAGTTTTAATATTTGAATGACAGCTGTCCTGATTCGTAGTAACATAAAAGTCAAAGATAAGCTACACAAAAATTGAGGTGTGCTTGCGTTTCACGTGTGAAACATTATTTTAAAGCGAGAAATAAACATCACATGCATGTGAGTGCATTAAACGATACTCCGCTACAGTTTATTAAATACAGGCCAGTCAATAAAAACAGTTATATATATACCTGGAATATCATTTTATCTAAACACAGTTACAATTTACAGGAATTAATACAATGGCTGGTTATTATAAACAATTCCATCTCTTATTGCTACTGGAAAATAAATACTACTAGTGTATTCTGATCAATAATCCTAAATAAAATTTTTGTTTCGAGTGTCGTCGATCAAGCAAAGCTCACCATTCCGGAATACTCTTGGTAAATTTTTAGCGAGTATTTAATTCCGCGAAAAGTTAGTGACTCTTCATCGCGAATAAATGATTTCGCGGGAACCTCAATTCAAAATTAATATATTAAAGGACAGCATCAGCAAAAGTTTATTCGTGAGGGAGTTTTCGCGAATTATGCTTCTCGCGAATAAACACGAAAAATAATCCTTCGCTAATAATTAGTGATTTACAGTAACTGTGTTTAATTCGTTTCCCATTACACATTCATTTTGTTTACATTTTATCCTCGTATTATAAATTGAAAATTTGAGAAATTACCCATCTACTGGAGGTTTGTAAATGGTCTTATATGACTAAGCTTAATATGATATAGACCTGCCCTAACGGTTTAGACTGTGATATTCACATGTAACATTTGCGACACTGATAATAAGTGTCCTATGGAATGGCGGATGGCAGTGATTTACACCTAGTACATGAGTCTAACTCAGACGGACCCAGGACGGAAACTACGATAAATGGTACATTTATTTCCATCGAAGATGTGTAAACAAATCGGTGTCAGGAAAATCATTCTCACATATCTAAGGTCTCACATAAACTTACTCTACTCAAAAATACGTAGCGACATTGCTTAGAATCAGACATGATTAAATTAAACTGACTTGCTTTGAACATCACATTGCTGGTTATAGGGTTGATCTACGTACAGTCAATGATAGTCATAATAAAGCCCCAAACACAACTGACTAGGACTAACCAGCTGTATGATGTAATTAAATTCATACTTTTGCTTAAATCATATTGAGACGTTCTACTGTATGCTGTACATATTTTATACTGTCACCAAGTATCATGATTCTATCCTAAATTAAATCCGACCGTCCCAAATACACACGGTACAGACATGCCGAATATCGATGGCCTCGCGAAAACAAACTCGCAAGTCCAAAAATACACATTGCCAGCCTATAGCTTATTTTCTCTCCCATGATGCAACATTTCAGAAGATTGACATGGCACTCATGTTGAATGGTGTTTCATGGGACATCAATCATGAAACTCCTAATGATATCTGATATCACCGTTAGTTTGAAACTCAATATTTATTTGTTGTAGACAAACAGAGATTTTGGACAGATGGATCGGATATCACGGAGGAGGGCAAATGGGTATGGATGACTTCCGGTATGCCGGTTGAGAATTACACGAACTGGGGATCTTCACAGCCAGATAACGGCTCCGGAGCTGTTCTTCCTTCTAACTGCCTTTGTCTTGGAAGATGGATGGAGTTTCAGTGGGATGATAATCCATGTTCTGAAGCCGGTCTCGTTCTCTGCGAGAAACCGGATGTATGAATTCCTAAGTCTCCATTTGATTAACCAAGACGCTTTCACTGCGTGAAAAGGCACTTGATCGGTATTATTTTACATAATGAATAGTGACATGGCTTGCCAGCGATAAACAACTATTAATTTTCGGTAATGCCAGTATAATTATCAATAAACTTCTTCCACCATATTTATGATGTAAACGATCTTCGACAGTAGCAACAACAACAACAACAACAACAACAACAACAACAACAACAACAACAACAACCACAACAATAACAACAGCGGTAACAACAACACAGCAACGGTATTGCAAAGAAAGTAGATTGTGCGCTTTGTCAGTATTGTCAACTTACCAGTAGCGTTATATTGATAACATTAATTACTGTGTGTGCATTGTCAACTTACCAGTAGCGTTATATTGATAACTGTAATTTCTGTATGTGCATTGTCAACTTACCAGTAGCGTTACATTGATAACTGTAATTTCTAAATGTGCATTGTCAACTTACCAGTAGCGTTATATTGATAACTGTAATTTCTGTATGTGCATTGTCAGTATTGTTAGCTTACCGTAAATTGTTTATATAAACATCGTAAAATCACCGTCATATTGCGTTTCTGTTTTCTATATGTTAAAAGCCATCTGAGGTAAGCATTAAGTTGGCTAGGATTTCCTGAAAACTGCAATAACCTATACTGGCCATGAATGAACTTATATAAGAGAGGGTTCGTCTCATTTAGGGGGAGAATTCGGACGGAAAACGGCCAGAGAAGTAATTGGAAGAAACTGTAGAAGCTAGGTAATTTTAAATAATTATCTAATTAAGGAACCAAAGGCTGAAAAAGACTTTCAGGGAAATGACTGAAGAAGTCTTTTCAATATTCCATTAGTGATAAGGTCTCTGAAGAAGTGACCAGTGGTCGTAGAAGGCAGACCACTTAGAACACCAGGGTTTCTCTGACTGCAGTGCAGTGGCGACTGAGCGCATAGGCTTGGCAATAACTACGGTGCAGTAGCTAAGCCATATATAGCCGGTGCGCAGTGGCTAGTCAAGTGGTAAGGTAAACAAACCATGTGGTTGGGTGTGTATTTTACAGGAGATTGGTGCGTCCTATTTTACTTTCCGAGGCCAGATAAGCACTGACGGTGTGAAGACTGTCGTTTATATCGACATAATTTAGATAAACACGCTAATGACATGTAAAGCTGGTAACTAAAAAAAAAAAAAAAAAGATTTCAGCCCACAAATCTATTCTCATCAGCAGGAGCCCCGTATTTTACACTATGTTCAAGGGAGATCTCGCCAAAGGAGAAATTATCACCCCGGATATGGCACGGGAGATATTTACATTGTTTCTAAGGTGATATTGATTTTAATGTCATATTCCATTTTGTTTTATCTTTTGTTTTTATTTTATTTTATTTTATTTTTGTATTTCCGAAAACATCTCTGGTTACAAAAACATCCTTTAAATATACACGAACGTTAGATAGAAAAATACTTCAAGGATAGACATTCCCACCTAATGCTGTAAAACATTCAAGTTTGATAAAATAAATTGATCAGTTACTTAATATTTCATTTCAACTGTTAAGAAAAGCAATTGATGAATAATAAGACCTTCCAAGTTTCAATGGTTTTGTTGATCAAATTTTGTTTACCTGACGATGACGTTACGTGAAATTCTGACAGACGACGTACGCCAAAATAATTGCTCCGTGCAGAATCTAAGTTTTAAAATCTAACGGTACGAGAGTGATTATTTTTTAAGTTTCGTACATTAACTTGTTCATTGTTACATATAAAATCACTTATTCGCACATTTCTTTATATTGTTAAACATAATTTTAAGTAAATGCAGAAAATAGTTCCTTCGAATAACGCACAGCAAAAATATATGACAACTACAAGAAAATACCAATATGTCCACGTAATCCAAACTCAGATTCAATAAAACTAGAACAAAATATGAACAAAAGATAGTTTAACACAGAAACTCTTGAGAAAGTGCAAGTAGAATAAAACCAGGTGAAAGATTCGATGAATATATATGTTACACTACCAAAACCGGCTTAACATAAACGTTAGGACACCTTCCTGAGTACCCCATAATAAGTGTACTTTTACTAATCCAGGACGAATTATTACTTGGAACATGTACAACATCCTTTCATATAACATTTTTTTTCGGTTAAAAGTGTCTTTATTCGCTACATAAATGATTATTCTTATTCTCCGGTATTCGCATAATTTGTCAATTTTCGTTTTGGATATATCTTGTTACATTTAGAATTTCTCTCAGATACTCCATAGGTCATCACCTTTCGTTTCCAAGTATTTCTCGAATCGATACGAATGTAACCCTCCCGGTACCGAATGATATGTGTACCGTCGTTTCTATCACGTGTTTTACACTTCCTGGTAACCAATATTATTTCCACTTTCGTTTCTCGGGTTAATACAAAGGTTTCCCTCTCGGGTACCCCATTAAGTGTCTACTTCCGTTTTAGTTTCTCGTTATTCTAGACCGATTGGGATTTCCAGTCTGGATAACAGATAAATAGCCTTCTACTATAACATCTGGTCGTTGGTAAGGTAAGTTGTATTATATTTTTGGCTATAAACCAGATTTGTGTTACTATTAGGTACTTCATAGGTCATCTCCTTTCGTTTCTAAGTATTTCTCAAATCAATACGAATGTAATCCCCCCCGGAACCGAATGATATGTTTACCTTCGTTTCTATCACGTGTTCTGATTAATACTATTTGTACCGCCCAGATAACCCATATTATTTTTACTTTCGTTGCTAAGACTTCCTCGGGTTAATACAAAGGTTACCCTCTCGGGTACCCCATTAAGTGTCTACTTCCGTTTTAGTTTCTCGTTATTCTAGACCGATTGGGATTTCCAGTCTGGTGGTTAACAGATAGATAGCCTTCTATTATAACATCTGGTCGTTGGTAAGGTAAGTTGTATTATATTTTTGGCTATAAACCAGATTCGTGTTATACTTATGACATTAAGGCGTACACTTAAGGTTGTACGTTTTGTGAAACTGGATATGTGCATCAAACCGGAAACAGGTTAGTCGTGGATAAGTGTTAAGGAATGGCGTTATATTGCTTTATCTCGACATTGTTATTATTTAACGTTTCATTGAATTGAAAGGAGTTGATCTCAAATCACTAGACAGGATAAGCTAAAACCATATTTGAGATGTGAAAATACTTTGATAACCTTGAATCAAGCACTTTTCATGGATCAAACACGCGTTATCATAGACCGGAAGTAGGTAGGGCTGACAAAATTTACGAACGTTGAAACTAATTACCGACTTCGGAAATGGCTACCTCGAAAGTCAGCTATGAAAATTAGCAAAGTTTAACACAGATGATGATAAAAGAGGAAGTAAAGATTAGTCTAAGATTTAGAAATCTAATTAGATCGTTCATTTCACATCACGGTACAGGTCCGTCATATAACGAGACACGAAATAAAATCAGCGATGTGATATTAATTTGTATTCCGTTTTCAAGCTTTCTTTTATCGGACCGTTTTGCGTTCTGTTGTTGATGCGTGCTTTTTTATTTTTGTGTTTTCTTCAAAGAACGGTTTTAAATTACGATTTTATTACAAACATTATTCTGATGAAACTTCCTGTACACTTTCAGATTAAACATGGCAACTGCACAGACTCAAGAACAGATTTGGCAGAGTGATAAATCATTGGCTGAATGTTTGGGCCATCTCTTCACTTCCGGTATAGCTTGTGACGTCACTTTCCTGGTTGAAGAAGGAAAATCTAAGATTTCCGCCCACAAAACTATTCTCATCAACAGGAGCCCCGTATTTTATGCTATGTTCGAGGGAGATCTCGCCGAAAAAGGAGAAATTGTCATTCCGGATGTGACGCGGGAGATATTTACATTGTTTCTAAGGTGATATTGATTTTAATGTCATATACCAGGTTTTTTTTATTTCCGAAAACCTCTCTGGTTATAAAAACATCCTATTCGTTGATCATACATTGATGTTATTTTACATAGATGTAACCGATTTAACAGAGCGCTGGTGTCACTGTCAGTTATAAACAATGGTAGTACATAAGAGATGTATGTTTTATATAAGATACATGGGTTCTGTGTTTATATCGTAGACTTTATCTGACTGTTTGTTTATTCTGCTATACCTTGAAACTAGTCATGCATTTAGAAATTACATACAAAAAGTGTTCATGCTCTAAGGCTATTTTCCTCAAGAAATGTCAGTTCTAGATTAATTTGTTTCACTTAGTATTTTGAAAGCTATTTAATTCTGTCGGTCTAATTCGAATAACACAACTGTTGTTTCCAAAGAGTGATATGTCATTCCGATACTTCTTGTTGTGTGGTGATAATTATATATTCCATAACTATTTTGGCCCTCTGATAATTTTTTTAAAAGCTGAATCTGTTTAGTTGCTGTTGTAAAATTTGGTATTGATCTTGTCCCTAAATCAATTGCAGATTTCTAGCTTCTAACTCTCGTCTTGGTTATGCTATATATATAAAGTACTTCCCGAAATGTTAGAAATGATTTTAAACAATTACTGGAACTTTGGGGACTAAAATCCTCACGTGTTTCACTACTTTGTCTTTGATTTCCTCTTGCTGTTTGTAGTTTCTTCTGACGGTGTGTTGTCTTCCATTTTGATATTTTTGACGAGGTAAAGTTTTGTCACCACGAGTTATTGGTTATACAGTATGTCGTTAGTTGTAAAATCTGGTTCGTAATCTATTTGAATAATGCCAACTAAATATGAATGGACGATTGAATGAATAGGTATGTAGTAGAACATCGACACTAAAATTAGTTTATTTGAATCCAGTTGTTTGTTCAAATTGTAGGTACCTTTATACGGACACAATAGAATTCAGCGACACTGTAGCAATGCCTGTCTTATCTGTTGCGAGGAAATACATGGTGGATCATCTTGTTACGAAGTGTCAAACCTTCATTAAGAAATCCATAACTCCGGAAAATGTATGCTTCTGGTTGGAACAATCCCACCTACATACAGAGGAAAGTATGATGGAAGAATGTCTGCGTATGATCAACAAAACACCGGAAGTAGTGCTGAAATCCAAAAGTTTCCTTGACTTGTGCGGTGCCTGCGTGAAACGTATTACAGAGTCGGACAACCTGAATGTGGATGAAAGGATGGTGTACGAGGCGGTGATTCGGTGGGGGGAGGCAGAGTGTGAACGTCAGGGACTGGAGTTGACAGACAGCAACGTCCGGAAGGTACTCGGGGACGTCTTCTACACCATCAGGTTTCCGGTTCTTGTGTTACCGGCTCGCTTGGCTGTGGTCCATATGAATTACAAAGATAGATTTCTTCAACACGGGTTTTATTTTTTTATTTTTCTCTCTTCCGGAAAATCTCTACTGCTAACCAAAATTCAACCCGGCCGCCGTAAACGACGGAACGGGTACATACTAATACAACAAAATGATACACGGATTTATAATATCCAGAATGTTATAATTTAATCCGCCTCTACCTGACCAGTAACTATAAACATAACATCCCCGCCCCCAACAGAAAAATTGAGAATCAATTTTAAAAAAACTGGTCAGGAAGATGCAGATAACATTTTACACCTAAACAAAGGTATCTAACTAGCAGAAAACTCATACATTGACAATATTATCAGAAATGATAAACCAATTCCAAATGCGTAGTTTCCATGAATTTTGGCTGAATGATGTAAAGGCATGCCCGAATATATTTAGTGAACAAACCAGTCAACTAATTGCATATAATATAAACAAGCCTCGCACAAAACATCATAATCCTCAATTCCATACACTACAAAAATAGAAATCCACATTAGAATTATATATATATAAACCTTAAGCTGAATTGGACATACGACATGGTAGTAAATCTAATATTGTGCACTCTCAGCGATTATTCGTTGGGGTACTATCAGATAATATTTGTCATGTCAATAATCAGCTAGGAATAACATTATTCCTTAGCAATGAATATACCGGTATTTAACTCAATCGTCCTGGACAAAATCATCAAACAGAAACTCTGTGCAAACAAAATATTCAAGTAGATATGCTATCTGCATAAACTTGTTAAGGTAATGAATGAAAATCACAAATTTAACTTGAGTAGCAAACAATGAACTACATTTCAGTACCATAGTGATCAATGCAACATAGAATAGACAAAGAAAATAAAACAACTATTAATCGCAGTTCTGAAACATCACACTAGAGGAGGTGGGCGTTTTCGGATGCTGGCTTTCGTATGATCATCTAATTGTTCTATGGGCACCCATGTCGTATATTTAGCTGGTTCTCCTCGTCGGTGTACCAAATATTCATCATTGCTCTTTGTCTTCTTACGAGCAAGTACACGCTTCGTATGACATGGACCTGATCCACTGCTCGATGAGGTTAAAACAGCCGGATCAACATGGTTCGTATCCCGGAAACGAACAGGTTTGCATCGTACTCGCTTTGGGCGAGTGTCATTAGAATTTGGTATGGGAACTGCATCATAAACAGCACCATCAACCGGAACTAGTGGTTCCTCCTCCGATGCACATGTGATAGATTTTGCCGCTGTTCGACGATGTTGCGACACAGGTGGGAACAGATTAGATAGGATTGCTGGAATCTCTGCTACACGATGATGGACGTCACCACTCACATGATCAGCAGGAAGAGGTTGTGTAACAGACATTTTGTCAACATTGTCAGAGATGTGGCCGGGGGGCTCAACATCAGACTCAACACTTGCACTCTGTTGCGATTCATGCGATTGGAAGTCAATCTCGTAGGATGCATGATCCGAAGTTGTTTGCGTGTCAACCTCTGTGGTGGCCAAACATTCCATCAGAAAGAACGTGATCTACATCTGTTCGGGCAACTGCAGGCATGAAATATCCTGTAGGTTCCGGGACACGTACATATGCCAATTTGAGGCGGTTCATATGGATTGGTCGCGGAAGGAGTTTGTCCGATTTTCTATCCCGCAGCGTTACTAAATGAGGGGAATTTACTTCATGTATGACATAGGGACCCGCATACTTATTGTAAAGCTTCTGACCTTTCCCAGATGGATCCTTTAATAGGTATACATAATCACCAACATCTATGCGCAATGTGTTTGTCCTCGAATTTTCTCTTTTGAGAAAAGCATCCCTGGCAATACCAGCATGTTTCTCTACGTCGTCGCGTATGACGGCCAAGCGGTCTGCAATCATCTGGACATAAACATGATAGTTCTTGGGAATAGTTTCGAAGACTGTGGGAAGAATGTGAGTCGACAAAGGAAAACGAGGACGGTATCCAAAGACGATCTCGAATGGACTATATCCTAAAGTAGCATTGACCGTATTATTCATGGAAAAAATGATCGACGGTAAAACATTGTCCCATGTCCTGCCACTTTGGAGGAATGGTGTGAGGCGCTCAGCAAGAGTGCGATGAGTTCTTTCGACCGACCCCAGACAATGGTGGGTAAAACTTGGTGTAAATTGTTGCTTTACATCCAGAAGTCGGCAAACCTCTTGTGTACACTTTGAAAGGAACTCGCTACCCTGGTCTGATATCAGTGTACTACATACACCAAAAGTAGTAATACGTGTGTACAAAGCACCTGACATAGTAATTGCGTCTTTGTTACGTATGGGAACAGCATATATATATTTGCTAAATTGGTCAACTGCTGTGAAGACATACAAATTTCCACTGGGAGAAACAGGCAAAGGGCCATACAAGTCCATTTCCCAAACATCAAAGGGTCGCACGGGTGTTGGAAACGCTACGATTGTGGATTTGGTATGCGCTCTGGTAGTTTTCCTGACCTGACATCTAGGACAGGACCGAACATAATCCGCAATAATGGTCGCGAGACGAGGGAAGTAGTAGGAGTCCTTAACACTATCCACCATGTGTTGTATACCACCATGTCCGCCAAGAGGGGAAACATGATACAGTTCTATGATTGTTCTTATCATGACTGCAGGAAGTACCAGTTGATAGTGTTGCAGTGTCCTGTTCCTGCTGGATTTTGCGACACCTGAGTGAAAAAGGACCCCATCGAGTAGAAGGTAACCCCCACTTTCCAGCAAAACACGCCGAGACTCTTTTTGTGAGGACGGTAATTTTTCATCTAAGAGGTTATCAATAAACGCGTGCAATTTTGGATCCTGTCGTTGCAACGTTCTGACAGTTTCTAGGTCAAATGTTCCTTTAGAGAAGATGTCCATTGATTTGACCCGAGTCAGTATGTCATCATCATTGCTAGTCTCCTTAGAACAAGAAATTTGTTCGTTCTCAACTTGAAATCCATTAATATCGTCTGCTAGTGAGTCAGTGGCGGATGGTTGCATAGTGCCCCAGTCGTTGGACTGATCCAAAACAAGTTTTTTCCGCGGCTGGGATGGCGAAACTATCATTTTCAGTGGAAAATCCATCAGAAACATCCATCGCTCCAGAGGAATCTAGTGCCTTATGTGTGTCTGTAGATTTGTCAGTGACCGCGACTGGGTTTGATTGTGTCCGCACAATCACAACATCTGAAGCACAATTACCATCTGAATCTTTACCAACAGCAGAACAACGGTTCTTTAAGTATGGAGGTGGCACTGGAGATCTTAAGTTTGCTCGTCTGATTTTGTGACGTTTAATTTTGAGGCAGGTCTCATGCTCTGCTTCTTCAGAATCAGCATCATACATTTCATCTTGTTTGTCCTGAGAGTCGATTGCCTTGTTTGGTAATGCAAATGGCAGAATCGTTGAAGGGACAAAAACATCAATGTTATTGACTTCTTTAGTTGACTCTGTGGCGCCATTGGCTTGGGAACAAATTTCAGCACTGGTAGAGTGATGCTCCGATTCACCATTTAACAGATGCCTCAAGAAATGGTCCTCTGGCACGACAATATCTCCCCCGGTTTCTGGTACATATGGGAAATATGGATCGTCCTCGTCTGGACTATGACATTCTTTAGTCTGTTGAGGGGATCGAGACAGGGTATCTGCTACCTGCATTTGTACAGCTGGTTTGTATTTTACTTCAAAATTGAATTGTTGCATAATTGCTACCCATCGTTCGTAGATGGCACCTTTCATTTGGTTCTGGAAGACAGGTCGCAACGCCTGATGATCACATTCGACAATGAATTTTTTTCCACGGAGATATGTAGCACAGTCGAGCATTGCAGTGACGACTCCCAACAGCTCCAATTTAGTTGGTCTATACGATTTCTGCCATCGACTGAGAACTTTGGATCCAAAGCGGATAACACGGAAATCCTCTGTTGCAGAACCATCACTCTTTTGGTACAGTATATATCCAATGCCTTTGCAGGAGGTATCAACGCCCAAGTAGAACATTTTGTCAAAATTAGGAAAGGCGAGGACACCACAATTTTCCAGAAGATGTTTCAGTTTGTCTAAAGCAGCCTGCTGTATCTCTGTCCATTTGAAACGAACACTTTTCTGAGTGAGATGGACGAGTGGCTGGGCTTCGGCACTGTAATTTGGAATGAATTTCCGAAACCAATTAAAAGGCCCTAAGAAACGACGCAGTTCTTTAATGTCACGTGGAGGACTAATTGATTTAACTGCTTCAATCCTGTCTGGTGGGGGCGAGATTCCATCCTTTGAGATGTGGTGACCCAGGAAAATGCAGGATTTTTGGGCAAACGCACAATTCTTCGGACCAAGCTTCAATCCGGATAATGTCAACCTATCAAAGATTTCCTCAATGTCCTTCAAGTGTTCTTGAAATGTAGATGACGTTATGAGGACATCATCCAAATAGCACAGACATGACTTGAACGTGAGGCCTCTCAGAACTCCATAAGGAGTTGGAAAGTACTGGGTGCCGAGCTTAACCCCATTGGTAATCGCTGGAACTTAAATGTACCATAGCAGGTGTTGGAAGCTGTAAGCCGAGCACCATTGGAATCTATCGGCATTTGAAAAAACCCAGAGGAAAGGTCGATGGATGTGAAATACTGAGGTGTCCGGTCAGAAAATGATTCCGTAAGTTCTTGCAGATTCGGGATTTCATACTGGAATGTTTGAGTTTGCGAATTAAGATACCGAATGTCAACGCAAAAACGGAATTGGGAAAGACTGGATTCCCTGGTAATCGGCTTGGTAGGTTCAGTCGGCTTACACCTTTTCGTAACAGGACAACCGGGCTCGTTATGAGGATTTCCTCTGATTCGCTCACTGGTGCAATGATACCCTGGCGAAGAAGTTCATCCAGTTGGTGTCTAAGGACTTCCCGTTTGTCTGGCGGTAGTCGATATGGCCTTTGATGTTTCGGTTTGGCATCTGGCTTTAACAATATTTTATGAGTCACGACATCGGTGTAACCCAAATCAGGATTCCCTGGAGTGACAAAAAGTGACTTTTGTTTACGTAACAAAGACTTGAGGGCACACTGTTCTTGTTCAGACAAATGATCTGGAATATTGAAATGTGTATCAAACGTAGAATGATCTTCATCTGCAATAGAACTTCCTTTGACACTCTGTATAAAATTATCTGAAACATCAGTTGTCTCATAATCTTCTGAAATGTGATCGAAGCTCGCCAGGGGTTTTCCACAGAGAATGGTTTTAGCAGTGGACGTTGGATTCATGATCTTTATAGGGACAGTGTTGTCACGTGAAACCGTCACAAGTGTTTTGGCGACTAGAAGATGTTGATTCAAACTGTATCTGCTGGTTGAGCAAACACCCTGGGAACCATACAACACATTTTTTGGAAGTGTACCCCAAATTACAAGTTCACAGTTTGGAGGTATAACAGTTCTTCTCGGGCACAGTTACAGTTGCAGATCCAAATTTGTAAGAATGATCTGTAAAGTTAAGGACCACTTTGTTAGCTTGTAGAAACGGAGTGCCAAGTATGAGTGGTTGTGACGTATGTGGCAGAATATGAACCAGCATTTTGTGAACAACACCTCCCATACGAATGTTGATAATGGAAGTTCCAACTATGGAAATGGTTTGGTCATTAGCAAGGGTAACGGCTTCCTTATCCGAAGGTAGAAATGATGAATGACAGAAATGACTGATGCTAGAATATAGTTTTTCACTAATAATGTTCAGAGAACTTCCTGTATCAATCAAAGCAGCAATTTTGAAGCCATGAAGTTCAAGAGGTAGAAACATAAATTTTGGTTTCATGGT